ACAGAGTGACCAACTTCTCTACCTGATGGTTCAGTGGCATGAGAAACTCGAAGTCGTCTGAGGGGAGTCCCAGCTTCCATCTGGACTCTGTTTCCTGGGAAACACATTCCTCTTCTGGGAGCTAGGACCTCTAAATCCACTAACCCCAAGAATTACAGACAGGAAGCAAAATATCCTTCCCTGGGTCTTTAGGTATAATAGTGAGAGGGACACTCCCACTTTAACCCTTAAACTCCCAGATTCACTCATCATAGCTGGGAAACAGATGAACCTCATATAGTACACATAGTTGGATTGCCAATACAGACTCACATGAATCATAGATCTTACCAACTCTGAACTTTGCCACATGCTCTAGTGAGAGTGTGCCGTGGGTCCTTTGTCTTGAGGCTTTTTATCTTTCCTTGTCCGGCTGGAATCCTAGGGGAGGTCTCAGGGGAGGGTCTTAACAGAATATTCATTCGTTTTTCAGGTGTGTCCTTCAATATGTTGATTGATCAAAATGTGCATATAGAGGAGTCAGGGGCTATTTCCTGGTTAGTTTCATTTTTAAAGAATGTCATCAAAAGAATGTCATCAAGAACCTCACTGAGGCCGTTCTGTCCTGGGATGATCTGGACCGTGTAAACCATTTGTTCCTACATATCCTTGGTTAGGGAAGATAAGACCTTGTGATTCCTTAGCTGACTATAAATTGCTCCAATCATTTGACCTTGTTTAATTATTTTGTCTCAGTTTTCCTTAGTCTACTTGTCAAGGAATTTCCCTAGCTTCTTGCCATCCTGCCTCAGTCACTTCCTGATGGAAGGGATTCAGTGTCATCAATCTGCCACAGTGTTGGCTGATTTCCCAGGGAATGGGACCACATTTGGGCTCATCACTGGCTTGGAGTGGTGGTAGTCACAGCCTCAGCCTGGTGAAGGGAAGATGATGTTGTTACACCCATGCATATTAGTTTGCTAGAGCTGCCGACAAAATACCACAGACTGGGTGTCTCACACACAGACATTTATTTCTCACAGTTTTAAGCTAGACGTCCAAGATCAAGATTGTTGGCAAGTTTAGTTCTCCTGAGGCCTCCCTCCTTTGCTTGCATATAGTTATAATCTCATTGTGTCCTCACAAGGCCTTTTCTCTGTATCATATCCCTAGGATTGCCTCTTCTTATAAGGACACCAATCACATTGGATGAGGGCCCATCCCAACATCCTCATTTTATTTTATTTTTAAATATATTTTATTGATTTTTTACAGAGAGGAAAGGAGAGGGATAGAGAGTTAGAAACATCGATCAGCTGCCTCCGCAACCAAGGTACATGTCCTTGACCAGAATCGAACCTGGGACCCTTCAGTCCGCAGGCTGACACTCTATCCACTAAGCCAAACCGGTTAGGACAACATCCTCATTTTAACTGAATGACCTCTTTAAAAGCCCTATTTCCAAATATAGTTATATTCTGAAGTTATTAGGGTTAAGGCTTCAACATTTGATTTTAGTGGAACACTATTCAGTCCATAACACTATGCCTTCTGGACAATCAAAAGTCATGTCTTTCTCATATGCAAAATACAGTCACCCTTATTCCAAGGGCACCAGAGTCTTAACCCACTTCGGCCATCTGTCTACCTGAGCTTTTTCCCTCAGAGTAGATGCCCTCTGGTGGCACTTACATGACACTCTATACCCATTCTGAGAAGTCCATCCTACTGGCTCTCCCCCTAGCCTCTGTTCTCAATCTTCTAATTCTCTTCTTATCAAGTCTCTGCATAACTAGTGAACCATTAGTCACAATCCATGAATCAGTTTAGATACATACCTCAAGTTACTTCTTTTTTTATATGAAGTGCACAATCAAATATATCTTCCTGATTTCTGCCCTTGGGAGGGTATCCCTCAATCATTCTCAGAATTACCCCCAAGTGGGGCTATCCAGCAGTGGCCTTCATTTTTCGCTCGGTGTCAGGTTAGCATTTTTTTCTACTCTAGGCATAGAAAACTCCATGTAAAGCCTTGTAAGATGAAGAGAAGGCAGCAAAGTAGCACATGCATTTACTAAGAAGTTCTGACTCATGTGGGCAATTTAATTGTGACTCTTAAACCTCCATGGACCCAGTGTTTTACTTTTTGATATATTTTTATTGATTTCAGAGACGGAGAGAGAGATAGACACATCAATGATGATAGAAAATTATTGATTGGTTGCCTCCTACACTCCCCTGACTGAAGATGGAGCCCACAACCTGGGCATGTACCCTGACTGGGAATTGAACCATGACCGCCTGGTTCATAGGTCAATGCTCAACCACTGAGCCACACCAGCTGGGTGACCCAGTGGTTTATATAATACTAGAGGCCTGGTGCACGAAATTCATGTACTTGGGGAAGGGGGCGGGGATCCTCAGCCTGGCCTGCACCCTCTCACAGTCCAGGAGCCTTGGAGGATGTCCTGATCGCTCGATCAGGGCCAGGCCCTGGGCTGGGACAAGGAACTGGGGATGGGTGGTGATGACCAACCTCACATGGCACCCAGGCGGGGGGCTGTGACCTCTCGCTGGCTACCTGGGAGAGGGAGTGACGGGGATGGAGGTGCTGTGAGAATTCGGGGTGTCCGCTGAGCTCACTCTCACTCCCCCTGCTACCCTCCCCAGGAACACCAGGGTTTGCACAATGGGGAAGCCCCCGTGCTCAGGTGCCGGGCGCCCATGAGGAGCCCACCCCACATCCACACGACCTCTTCCTGGTGAGCCGGACTGCAGCCACTGGGACCACAGGAGCCGGTTGGGCTTCCTGTGGATTCGCACAGGAGCTGGTCTGTGAGGCCGGCCAGGAGAGACCGTGCTGCCCTCCAGGCTTTCGTGCAGCACCGCTGGGTGGCCCAGAGGCCCATGCTGCGCCCCAGCCTGCGGCATCCAGCTGCATTCATCGCATCTCTGTGTGGGGACTCAGGCACTGTGACTCAGTCAGAGGGGGGTGCGTGGCGGCCCAGATGCCCAGGTGCTGCCCAGGGCCCAGAGGTCAGTTGGGACCTGCCCTTTCAGGCCAGGCGCTCTAGCTTCAATCACTAGCCAGGCCTAGGGACTGCACCTGTGCACGAATTCCGTGCACCGGGCCTTTAGTATTAAATAACGCTGAAAGATATTTAGCTTTCCCCAAGTTACAGTCAGACTGGTAAGTGCCCGACTTGTCTCTGGGAAAAGTTTTACTGAGGATTCACAAACACACCTGTGGGCATCCTGTGGCAGGGTCCTTTGCAGCTCCACTTCTGTGAACTAGTTTACTTCTAGAAACTGCATAAGAGGCTATGAATTCTCACTTCAGTGACTTATGTTAGGTTTCTGCCCACTAGACCTGGAATCCTTGTCTGAATATGTCAAGAAACAGCTTGGTAGGTTTTCCTTGTATTTAATTTCTAAGGCCTTGTTATAAACTCTACATTGTTACATATTTCTACAGGTTACACATTCTAATTACTACCTCATCCCTGTGGGCTATTCTGGTAATTGTATTCACCTTGTCACTGAGGTCTAAGGATTGCCATGCCTCTTCCATTTCTGGACCCCTGTATTCCATTTTGAGATGAGAGAACTCAATTTCTTAGCAACATCCTTCACTGTCATCCCTAGCCAACAAAGAACAGCCACCAGAGTGTTAAAAGGATGCTGGTGTCTGCCTTACGAATGCATTCTGTAATGTGTTGGTGTAGAGCTTGTTCTGCAGGCTCTCCCAGGGAGGTGTGTGGGCCGATTCATGCCCTCATGCTTGAGTGTCGTTTCTCTGAGACTTTAGACTCCTCCCTCTACACCATGTCAGGAAAGTTCAGCCAGCTCAAATTGGTGGGCAATGATTTGGGCCCAATATTCCATTAGCCAACTTAGGAGAACATTTATGCTTCTTCGAGGTGCTTGAGTCAACACATTAAATTCTGATCCCCAGGGAAGTGCACCCAACTGATAACTTTGACCTAATCAAATCACCAGTGTAACACCTTTGGAATCCAAACATATACCTGTTCCTCAGATTCCTGCCCATACAAATTGCTGAGATCTGCAATTTTTTTTCTTCATGTATAGTCTATCTCCTCCTGGGTAAAAGTCTTATATTTCTCTATCTGAGTTATCATTTTAGGTTGAATTGTGCCTCCCCCAAATTTCACGTGTTGAAGTCCTAATCCTCGCTACCTCAGAAAGTGACCTTATTTAGAAATAGGGTCTTAACAGAGGTAATCAAGTCAAAATAAGGTCATTAGTGTGGGCTCTAATAAAATTTGGCTGATGTTCTTATGAAAAGTGCCGGAAGCTGGTCTATTCTTGCTGCTTGACACAGTCGCTGCAGGGAAGAAACATCTGCACAGCATATGTTTCAAGGGACCTGGTGTATATGGCATACTGTTCTCAATATGTTTGCTCCCTTTCTTAGCGCTATGTGTTTTAACCAAGGTCACCTCTCCTAGAAAGGTTGTTTCCCCAGGTGGGGATTTTTCCCTGGAGTTAGGGATTCACAGGTCTAAGGAACAGAATAATCAGTAAAACCCCTTAACTAAGTGCCAGGCGGATAGTTAATCACATTAACTAGGAACAATCACCCTTAAGCTACATAAGCTTTACCTAGGATAATCTTCTTCAGTTACTCCCTTGTAGCTTAACAGAACAATGGAGTAGTGACTTTGGAATGGAGATAACAGACGCCCTAACCTTTAGAATAGAATGGATAGGATTAAAATCAACTGGTATAAATACAGATGTAGCAGGAGAATCAAGACAGAACCTGGAGTTGCAGAGCCACCTTCCTACAGTCGCAGAGCCAACTCTGTGCAGGGAAGGTCCAAAACGACTGCGACCTCAATCAGGCACCTCACAGCTCAGCCCGCCCAGCCCCGACCCCAGCACGCACTCACCACGCTGTTCCTGAAGCCAAGTGACCACCTTGCACCTGGGACCCCTCGCCCAAAGTGAGGGACCAACGTGCTGACACTCCGGTTCAAGCCAAGGCATATTCTGCGCCCGCCATGGCCGACCAAGTGGACATGTCTCTGGACGACATCATTCAGCTGAACCGGAGCCAGCGGGGCGGCCTCGGCCGGGGCCCAGGCCGGGCCGGCTCCCAGGGAGGCCAAGGTGGCGGAGCGCAGGCCGCAGCCCGAATGAGCTGGGGCGGCGGGCCCATCCGGAACCGGAACCGGACGGCCCTCATCCGCGGCGGCGCGGCAGGCGGCCGAGGCAGGAACCGGCCTGCGCCCTACACCCGGCCCAGACAGCTTCCCGACAGGTGGCAACACGACCTTTTCGATGGCGGCTTCCGCGCGGGCGCCGGTGTGGAGACCGGGGGCAAACTGCTGGTGTCCAACCTGGACTTCGCAGTGTCCGACGCGGACATCCAGGAGCTGTTTGCGGACTGCGGGACCCTGAAGAAGGCCGGCGTGCACTACGACCGCTCTGGCCGCAGCCTGGGATCGGCCCACGTGCACTTTGAGCGGAAGGCAGACGCCCTGACAGCCATGCAGCGGTACCACGGCGTCCCCTTGGACGGCCGCCCCATGAACATCCAGCTGGTCACCTCACAGGGAGACACGCAGCGCAGGCCGGGACCCAGTGTCAACAGAGGCGCGAGGACTAGGAACCGAGGATCTGGAGGCTTTGCTGGCGGCACCCGCAGAGGCGCCCGCGGAGGCAGCCGGGGCAGAGGCAGGGGCACCGGCCGGAGTTCCAGGCAGCAGATCTCTGCGGAGGAGCTGGATGCCCAGCTGGACGCTTACAACTCGATGATGGACACCAGCTAACGCACCAGCAAGTCCGCGCGTGCAGCTAGGCTTGGGCCACCTGGCCACACAACCTGGCTGGAGAACCTGGCTGGCTGGAGAACCTGGCTACGCTGCTCATCAACTGAACGCTGTCTCCGTGTCATTCCCTCCTTGCCGACTGCGTCCACACCTTTTTCTCTGAAATCAATAAAAAATATGTTAAAAAAAATACAAATAACAAGAAAGTTAAAAAAAACACACAAAACCTTGAGTGGTTCATGTTTCCATAGTACACACTAAAATAACACATACTAGTGTTTTTAAATAGAAGAGGTATGCCATTCTTCCCAAATGTGCAGTCATAAATACTTTGAAATACAGCCCTATTATGTTTACAAGATCAACATGTACTTCGTATTCTTCCCTGGCAGATAAGAACTAGTGTTATGGTTGTGCTACATAAACATTGCATTCACTTTTTTGTTTTTAAGACACAAAATGGAATCACTTATTCACCAGGACTTTTCCCCTATAAAACTATTCACAAAGTAACTAGCACAGGGAGTTGAATAATAAATCAAACACCATATAAAACCTAGGCTTCTCTATACGTGCAGATCAACAGGCTGAGCTTTGCATGTTACAGGAGACAGAAAGTTCCTCAGACAAGGACTTCTACTGAAAACCAATAGCTGGTTGTGAACCTGTTATAAAGGCAAAATGATCCTGATGACTAACACATAGCAGCACCATGTAGGTCAGTGATGGCGAAGCTATGACACTCGTGTCAGAGGTGACACGCGAACTCATTTTTTTGGTTGATTTTTCGTTGTTAAATGGCATTGAAATATATAAAATAAATATCAAAAATATAAGTCTTTGTTTCACTCTGGTTGCAAATATCAAAAAATTTCTATATGTGACACGGCACCAGAGTTAAGTTAGGGTTTTTCAAAATGCTGACAAGCTGAGCTCAAAAGGTTCGCCATCACTGATGTAGGTCATAAGAGGGAGACATCAGTATGTATATCTCAGGAAATTTTTTCCCCAACATGTGGTTATCCACTGCCTACAATAGCTTGCTGGGATAAGTAAACTGGGATTAATTTTCTGAAACTCGACAAAGCATTATTTATTTATTCATTCATGTCATTATTATTTTTTAATTTATTGTTTAAAGTATTACGAATAGTAGTACATATATCCTTTTTTTCTCCATTGACCTTCCCCCGGCCTTCACTACCCCCTGGCACATGCCCTCACCATCTGCCCATCCCCGCCCCCCACCACAGTGTCTTCCATCCATTGGTTATGTTTATATGCATGCACACAAGTCCTTTGGTTGATCTCCTACCCACCCACCCCCAAACTCTCCCCAGCCTTCCCGCTGTCGTTTGACAATCTGTTTGATGTTTCTAGCATTTTTTAAAAATATATATTTTATTGATTTCAGAAAGGAAGGGGGGGGGGAGAGGAAGAGAGAGAGAGAAACATCAATGATGAGAGAGAATTATTGATCAGCTGCCCCATGCATGCCCACATTGGGGATTAAGCCTGCAACCTGGGCATGTGCCCTGAGCAGGAATTGAACTACACCCTCCCGGTTGAGAGGTTTAACGGCCCATGTGCACTTTGAGCGCAAGGCAGACGCCCTGACAGCCATACAGCAGTACCACCGCGTCCCCTTGGACGGCCGCCCCATGAACATCCAGCTGGTCACCTCACAGGGAGACACGCAGTGCAGGCCGGGACCAAGTGTCAACAGAGGCGGGAGGACTAGGAACCGAGGATCTGGAGGCTTTGCTGGCGGCACCCGCAGAGGCGCCCGCAGAAGCAGCCGGGGCAGAGGCAGGGGCACCGGCCGGAGTTCAAAGCAGCAGATCTCTGCGGAGGAGCTGGATGCCCAGCCGGACGCTTACAACGCGAGGATGGACACCAACTAAAGCACCAGCAAGTCCGTGCGTGCAGCTAGGCCTGGGCAACCTAGCCACACAACCTGGCAACGGACCCTGGCTGGAGAACCTGGCTACTCTGCTTATCAACTGAACGCTGTCTCCGTGTCATTCTTCCTCGCTGACTCCGTCCACACCATTGGGAACCCCTGGATCTGTTGGGGCTGGACCCCAACAGAGCAGAACGCGCTCATCGCCAGGGCCGGGCTGGCCAAGGTCTTCATCGGGGAGGTGGTAGAAAAGGCCCTGGACGGAGGTGTGCCATAGCTGGGGGGGGGGGGGGGGAAGGAGACACTTGGAAACAGCTATCAACCAACTGAATGACTCAAATGATGGAGCAACACATCCTTTGCAAGCTAGATGTTTTCATCATTGATGTCACCATGTCTCTCTCCCTCTCCCTTCCTCTCTGAAATAAAAAAAATAAATATATTAAAAAAGAATATCGCCCTAACTGGTTTGGCTCAGCGGATAGAGCGTCGGCCTGCAGACTCAAAGGTCCCAGGTTCGATTCCGGTCAAGGGCATGTACCTTGGTTGCGGGCACATCTCCAGTGCGGAGTGTGCAGGAGGCAGCTGATCGATGTTTCTCTCTCATCGATGTTTCTAACTCTCTATCCCTCTCCCTTCCTCTCTGTAAAAAATCAATAAAATATAATTTAAAAAAAAAGAATATCAGTTTGATTCTCCATCAGGGCACATGCCCAGGTTGTGGGTATTGATCCCTGGTAGGGGGCATGCAGGAGGCAGCAACTCAACGTTTCACTTTTACATTGATGTTTCTCTGCCTCTCTTTCCTTTTCCCTTCCTCTCTCTAAAGTCAATTAAAATTTTTTTTGAAAAGGAGGCTAAAGGAATAATATAAACATCCTTTTTATACCATACATCAAAGTTTTTAATGAGAATATATGTGTAATCTTTCTCCATATGATAGAAAGCCTGTAATATAAGTTGTATTGCTATGATGATCAATGGTATAGCCATATTGGGCTGCATTACCAAATATTTTGTTTCCTTAATGGAAGTCACAAATAATTCAAAAGAATTGTAATTTATTCTAGAGCTGATAATGACTATTAGCTTGTTCATATTAGAATGAGAAAGTACAAGGAAGAATGGTTCCAGACAATGACAGTGAACTAGAAGACACTTACAGGATCATTAAATCAGGTCTATTAAAAGGCACTAACCAAAAACTTATCTCTTTGGTTGTTGATTTTTATTAAAACCAAAAATAATAATATTGCCAAAAAGTCTAAAATGTAGTTTCTACTCCAAAATTTGACATTCTTTTTAAATATCTCATAAGACAGTAAGAGCTTAGTAACCATTTACTAAATGACCTTATGAACAGTATTGAATAATTCTTAGAAATGTATATGCATAAACATCACTTCATGCGTCAAATACTTGTTTTGTTCTTTTTATAGAAGAACTTTTATTGATTTCAGAGAGAGGAGAAGGAAAGAGAAACAT